TCTTTTTAAAAAAAAAAAAAAAAAAAAAAATTCTGGGCCAAAATTAGGCCCTCTCCGGTCTTGGGCCTGAGGCGCAGGCCTCATTGGCCTCGCCTCAGGACCGGGCCTGCCCCTCCCCAACATCTGATATCTAATAGTGTTGTTCCATATTTTGGTCCATCAGACGTCACTCCTGACCAGCAGTGGACTCCCCCTAGTAATATAAGAAATCGACGTGATGATTATGATACTTCAAGGAGAGGTTTGAAAGGCTGGCGATATTCTTCACATCCCAAGAGCTCTATTTATTTTGTCTAGGCAATTACTGGTTGCGTGCATTTTTTTTCTTTATCTTACATTGTGAAAAAATTTCAATCTATTTGTTGCCCTACTTTTGATTTTGTCAATTGCTATTACTTTCGCTAATGTTGCTTTCATTCCTATGAGATTGCTCAATTCATCCATGAGGTTGCATTACCTGGTATGATGTTTAGTAATGCTATTTGTTATTTATGGTTTATGGATGAAACTTTTTGGCACCTCAACACCAAATCCCCCTTAAAGAAGGATCATAGAGGGAGTGAGAGCGAAATAAGAGAAACAGGAGATGTAAGTCTATGGGATGAAAGCAATTCACGGTTCTACCATGAGAGCCCTTATCTTTTCGCCCAAGTCATAAATGAACTTGCCATATGTATTCAAGATTAGGTTCTTGGGGTACGTTATTTGTTGAAGACATAGTTTTAGTTAATGAGACCAAAAAGATCACAAACCGTAAGTTACTACCTTGAAGTACTAAGGAATCTAAATAATGCATAGAAATCAAATGTAATGCATAAGACTAAAGACAAAAATAAGTTCGATGAAAAAGAGAAGTGCTATGAGAATTTTGTGAAATTCCTATAAGGTTAAAGGCCCATTGTACATGTACAAATATAAGACCTGCTATATGATAAGTGTGCACTCCCCTAAAGGTACAAAATGTTCATTAGATGAATGTAATGAAAATGAGCATGGTAAGATGGATGTGTGCTCATATTATAGTAGATAAAATAAGAAATGATAATATACGACAACCTGAGACATGGAATTGGACTCCTTGTAGGCGCAGTGTACAGACAGCTTTTGTTCCATGGCCTGTTGGGATAGATCCCACGATTTACCTCCCTTACAAAGCTTTAGGGGCAGGGCAGTGAGTCCCTCAAGGTTTGGGTTCAACCTTTTAATAAGGATAAATTTAGGGAATGACAACTTTGGGACATATGTAACGTAGATATATAGATCATAAGAAAAGCATTTATGGACTTAATTATGCCTTTAATTGTATGAGATGAGGCCCTTTTCTTTAATATATTGATTGTATATGGAAATAGAATTATCTGTGATTCTCTTTCTAATGTTTATGACAATTAAAGCATTATGTTAATTCTGTTGATTCGCTATTGACAATATTCGCTATAGAGAGAGGTTATATTCTTCTATCTATGTTTTGCTATTTATAAGGTGCTAATCTTATTGTATTCATCTGCCCTTGATAGATGTAGTTTTGAGGCAATTATCCCTTTCACCGACGATGGAGGTACAATGTTTGTTTTTCGTTTAATATTCTGTTTTTGTTCATCTTGCTCAATCGAACAATTTTAATGAAACTGAGAACTTGACAGAGAACCTTCGTAGCTAGAGATAGAGGGGACTCTACTTCATTCCAAGCAAACAGTAGTCATGATTATGGGTCCATGTTCAAGTCACATTATCGTAACTTCTCAAGCCGCCGCAGCTATATGTCCAAAGCAATTCATCCTTTTTCTTTTCCATTAGAAACACCCGCTAGAGAAGCTGCTTTTGTCGCCCTTGCTCGGCTGTCAGAATTTGATGCCATTACACTCTACCTAAACATATACATCGTTCAAGTGCTATTGGTTGTGCTGTTCTGACAGAACTAACTGAATCCTTTGATTATGATCTTTTTAGGACATCAAATAGCTTCAGATGTTTCTTATGTGCGACGTTCCTTTCATAGAGATCTCCTTGGAGTTCTCCGAGGATCATTGAAAGTGGAGACATGCGAGTCGCAGGAATCCTTTGGTGTAATGTATTCCATGTAGAATGCTTGGAGCAAATAACAACAAAGTTGTGTACGAATGACCCTCCATGCCCTATGTGTGTCAGATCTGAAGAAAAAAAAATTTCCCAATCAGCGAGCTTTTTCCAAGTTCAGAATAAGTTTCCCTCGTCTGAAACCTTATTGTCAAGACATGGTAGAAAGAGGAATATGGATACAATTGTTCTGGACTCGAGTTCACGGAAGAAAAATTGGTCCATAACAATCAAGCAAAGGTATCTGAATATTATTTGTTTTAATTTATTGTTATTTTCACATACTTGGGCTGTAGTGTAATCATGAAAACGCACAAATTTTTTTGCAATATTTCAGTGCTATATGAAATACTCTCTTTGCAGTATAATTATGAATAACGCCTAGATTTCTTTGCAATATTAAGAATGACATATGAAATACACTCCTTTGTTTCATGGGATGATATTTCATATCCATTCATTACATAACACGTAGGTCGATGATTTTACAATGTGGGTTGTATATTATTTGAGATCTGTAATCTACTTACCTGACTTGATGATTTTTAAACTACTGCATCTGGTCTCCAAGCACGTTATAGGACATTTATGTGTGTATGCTACAAATGTCACTCTTTTTATATCATGTGATATTTATTTGGTTTGTTATATGCTAGAATCTTGCTTGCATGTGTGAGGATCTTTGATGCTCAATTTGGGGAATTTGGGCCTCTTAAGGACATTTGTCTCCTGCTCGATATTACATTGTGAATGTCACAATTACTTGAAATTGGATCGAATTTAAATTGGTTTAAGGCAATTATCACGATAATGTGTTGTCATACACATTGTGTTAACTTTCCTTGCTTGTTAACAAAAGGAAAAATCAAACTCTACGTAGATATCATTCTTTGTAACTATATTGTAACAAATATGTCTTGTATGTGTTTTACTTAACATCACATGTTATCATACACATTCTGTTAAATCTCTTTTTTGTGCAATGTATGATAACATGATTAATTACATTTTCACTATATGGTTTTTGTAACAGTATAAAGCACGAGTCATGGGGACGTTACACTAGCTAGAAAACATGTATTGTGTGATACCTCGCTTGACATAGTTGTTGTGTGCGTAAGGTAATATGTAGCTTTACAATGGTTGATTGTTAGTTGAATTTTTTATATTAAATTATTTATCATTTGTTGTCTCCTATGTCTTTTAAATGTTAGTCGATTTGATAAGGTGTATCATTAGGTGTGATGTTTCCTCCAATATTCATATGACAATGGAGCGGGCTTAAAAAGCAAAGGATATTATCAAAGCAAGAGTGCAATTAAGAAACAAGATGTGCAAGGTGCAAGGAGCACAACCGTAATAGAAAGACGTGTAAGCACTCACTACCACTGAATCAAATACGAAAGAGGAAAAGAAGTTTGTAAAGTATCAAACATGTTGATAAGACGTCACAGATGCTGGACTAGAGATGGTTGGATTTCTATTTTAATTTCTAAGGAGCAAATTTCATGCCACCTAGCGTATTCCATAATGAATACTTATTGTTAATGTATTTTTTTTTTTTTTTAAATGAGAGATAAGTGGAAACCTTGCATATAGATTTCTACCAAGTATATTTCATTTCAAAATTCTAAAAAAGTAAAAACCAAAATTAGTAATCAATTTCAATATGATGTGATTCTTAAATTCGCTAATTATTATACAAGAGATGCTTCATGATCATAGCAATATACAAACAATGAAATATATTGAAACAGTCATCATGATCAAGATATTAGAAATTATATTGTGCACCAAAATCACAGGAAAGATGAATGTATAAAAAAATGATTAAATTTTCATAGTTTATAAAAAAATCATATGATGTGTCTTTATATCGGGAATCACAAATATTATGTCAAAAAATCTTGTGAAGTCCATGACATTGTAGACTATCAAACTATCGCAAGTTTTCATTTTTTGTAAGTTTGAATTTCCTTGATTTTTCCTATCAAACTATTAATCAGGGGATTCATTTATTAATATGCAAATTCATGGCTATTGCCATGTTTCAGTTACAAAAAAAAAAAAAATCAGCGAAATTTAAGGTGATAGTAATTTTGATTTAATTTGTTATAACACCTAGTATTTATAGTATATAAAATTAGTGTGTAGTATTTTATGAATTATTTTATTTTTCTTGGTTAGATGTGAATTTTTCCCTTTAAATCTTTCACAGATTAATGATGTTTAAAAAATGGGAGTTTTTTTTTTTTATTTGATTGGTGAAATTTTGGCCCAATGAAATCCCATTACATCATCGATTGATAAAAATCTATAAGGGAGTGTTTGATAGCATGTAAATGGAAAAAAAAAAAGATGGAATTGGAATTGAAAATTTCAACTTTTGGTGTTTGATACCTTATATTTTCCATGGAATTGCATTTCTTGGATTTATTGAAACTTGGAATTTTCCTTGTTTTGGTGGAATTTGAATTCTCACCATATGGTGAGAATTCAATTCCACCCTACTGTAGCGACTTTTTTTTTTTTTTTTTTTGATAATGGAAACCAATTCTAAGAATTATTGTAAAAAAATATTTTTCTTTAATTGATAATTTTCATGTAAAACAAAGTCAAACGAACATAAAAAACACTTTTATTTCAACATTTTCCACCTAAAAAATTATACCAATTAAACACAATAATTTACAATTCCCAGGAAAATAATTCTAGGCAATTCAATTCCCTGGAATTCATTTTCTAGGCAATTCAATTCCATCTTTACAATTAAACGGGCCCTAAGTGGTGATGCACATGTAATACAACAGTAATTCTTGACCATTTTCGTGTCAGCGTTCGGGTCACATTTGTTGCCACTAATGGCTTGCGATGTTGGATAAGTACGCCACCGGTGTGATTCGCTTATTTCCAGTGGACTTGAGCAATGAAATTCGCTATAGAAAATGGGTCCCAACATTGACATTTCAAACCATAGTGTTTTAACGCTGCATTTGGTGCAAACAGAAATCATTTTCTAGGCCCAACGTGTTCCCCTCGTTCCCCAATTCTCCACCATTTTTTTTTTTAATTTTTTTGTAAAGGCCCATGGCCCATTTTATCTTGGCCATTCAAATCCCTATATATCAAAGGGATTGAAATTGAAACAATTTAATTAACTTAATTCAATTTTGAAGAATGAACAAAGAAATGATCAACTTTTTGCGTTGAGACTTTGAAGACAATCTCTCCTAAAATAGGAATTGAACTTTCATTATAACCAATAGATTGGATTGAATCCCGCAGTTACAACCAAATCCCTTGCTATATAAGATTTTGTTATTTGAATTAATCTCAGTAATTGTGAGATAAGCATGAAGTATTTGGGACTATCCCCTTTTTAGTATAAATTTCTTGTTTCACTAAATCAAGTACTCAACCATGTAAATGCCCTAAGTTGTTTTTGTTAAGGGATAAAATCCCATGTCGATTAAAGATAAAAATATAGACCAACTTATAAAGGATTAAGCTACTCATCTTAACAAGGTTGACCGTTTAAGATGGAACCCCAAGTATTAACATGATATGAAATCCCATTAAACTCCAACAAGCGACTCGATTCGATTAAGACTCAAAAAATGAGCATACGAATTTCAAAATTGGTCTGTTCAAACGAGCCACCATCTTGCGGGGGCATGTTAAGGGATAAAATCTCACATCGATTAAAAATGAAAACATATACCAACTTATAAAGGATTGAGCTACTCCGCTTAATAATATTGACATTTTAAAATGGAATCTCAAGTTTTAACAGTTTTTCTTATATATTTCGCCTAAAATTCAATTTGGGGATACCACACAAAACAACCATTATACAAATTAAGTAACAATACATTTTTTAGAGCTTCGGGATCTTAAATGTTCCAAGCCAATCGGCTCCCACATCGTTGGCCTTGGCCCACCAGACGAGCCAGTTCGTGCTCACATATAGGGTGAGGCAATTTCAAAAATCTCGGCTCGTGTATGTTTTTAACTGAAAATCGCATTTTTCACTTCTTGATGATGAGCCCAGCTTGTGAGTAAACTTGTGCGAGCCAACGAGGGGCTCGCATGATGTTTTCCTTGTTTGGCTTGCACCCGGAAATCAGCTCAACTTGTTTGTGGGGTGAGTTAAGTAAAGCTCGCGTCACTTAACACACTTCAATGAGATATGCAATCATTCACAAATTAATTTTTCCAAATACAAAATATATTGATCGATCTTGACACAAGTGTGTGTGTGTGTTTTTTTTTTTTTTTTTTTTTTTTTTTTTTTTTTGCTCTTTTCGGAGTTTAAGAGTGTTACTAAATTTAACAAGCAAAGCTACACATAATTTAGTCTCAAAATATTTTCCTAAAGGCCGAACTTAGAGTTGTGCTCTCTAGACAAATTATCTGCTAAGAGATATAAAGATCCTTAACAAGGGATGAGTTGTAGTGGCACTTCTAAACTACGGTGAATTGATTTTTGAGTTTCGATTAAAACTCACGAATCACAATAATGCCCCCATCAACTTTCTTGAGGAGTTAGGCCTTACTTCTATTGGATTTGGAGTTGGTCAAGGGATTGCTAGGGGTCTAGCTGTAACGGGTATCGTGACACAGGTCGAGGCAAAGGAAAAAACGAGGTACTCTCAATATAGTTTGTGCAAGATTGAAAAGATGTTGACACCTCTGAGTACCTATCTAACTATCTAACCATCATTAAGACATATTCAAATAATCATGGAAATGTCAAGCTATATTGTATATTGTGTCATTTCAAGAGGTATTTGAAATTCATTTTGATACTTCTTTCTCTTGTTTGATCTTGCTAAAGTCAAAAATTTCAGCTTAAAAATAAAATTTCCTTTTCGGATAAATCCTTCGTGGGTGAATTAGATATATCTCCACAAAATCAACCCATGTGCATTCTTGATTACTATGGATTGCTGTCACTTCAATATATTAGGTCTCAAAGGGCAAGTTGTTAGCCAACGTGGAAGAAAAGGAGTCTCGTATTAATTACATTTTGACAGACTATGTGATAAATCAACACTCGATGAGGTATAAAATTTCAAATTAACTGCCTTTAAATTGATAAGAAACTAATTCCTTAGGAGGGGTAGGCAACCTAAAAAATCAGGGCATACGAGCCTGAATGACCCCTCCGATTTACACTTCTACATGTATTCACAATCTATAGTTATTTTCACTTTAATCACATAACTTTTCTCTTTTTAAGTTGGTCTTAAAACATCTATTTTGGTTTCAATTCGGACATATCGGTGTGTTAAATTACCAAAACTGCTGACACAGTGATGGTGGCAGTGGCTGTGACGAATACAATGGGTTTGAAGGAGGGTTGCAATGGAACCACATAAAAGAATTAATAATTCAATTTTTATTTTTATTTTTATTTTTTTCCTCATTTTTGTAGTGTAGAAAAGCTCATTTTGAAAGTATTCAATAGGATTTGATTTTATTGAGTTAGACGATAAAAATAATGCACTATTCGATTATCTTATCATGTCATATTTTTCACGCGTCACATTTGATCATCATTTTTGTTACTTCAATAGACATAAATACTTATAAACTTTGATGATTAATATAAAACAAATAAAAATCAATTATATTAGTGAAACAACATTATAAATCGAGCTGCTGACAAATTTCCCTCCAATAAATATTTCAAACACATTGCATAATTATTCGCCAGCTTCTACTCTTCTTTTCTCAGCTCTTTTGTGCTGTAATTCTTATTCCCTTTTTTCAGTCATAATGATAAAGATAAATAAGAAACTTTATTTATATTTTCTTGATTGCACATGCTTTGCTGTATGATGCAGAACTCTCTGTAGATAAAAAAGCTGTGGTGAGCGTGCATCATTTCACGTGCAAATCTTATGAACGTTCTTTGTCCAAATGATTAATCTTTTTTATTTAATTGGGTAGTTATGCTGGAGAAAAAGATTGTTCAGACAAACATGGCGGACAACGAAAAATCTTCACTTTAAGAAATTGATTTTTGTACAATCAAAAGTTAATGATCCCTTTACTTGTTATGCACTTATGTTTAAAATATTCGCCAAGAATTATTTGTGTAATGAGTCTATTACTTGTCAATTGTCATGTATTTTTTCTTGTATGATGACATTGTAGTAAATTTATCGTGTTTGTTGAAGGCATCTTAAAATATTTTGTTTTTGATTTTCTTGATGTGATGTATAAGTTTCTCTTTCAAACAATTCGAATATATAGATACTGGCAGAATTACTTTAACATAATTTGCACAGCCTAACAATATAATCAACAGAATTAGAAGATTAATTCGAGTCCACCGACTTCCCGATGTTTCCTTAAATAAATTTGGTACCTTCACAAGTGCTAAAAGTTTTCAGCAATCGATTCTTAGGATAAAATGAATTTTGTCTCCTACGGAAGCAGTACAGCAATCTGCAGGAGTTCCAACGAATTCAATGAAGTGTTTTACAGTTCGAGAACAATATCAGAACGAGAAAGAGGGAAAATGAGATTCAAAACAGAGAACGC